CTTTCTTTCTTTCTTTCTTTCTTTCTTTCTTTCTTTCTTTCTTTCTTCCTTTCTTTCTTTCTTTCTTCTTTCTTTCCTTCTTTCTTTCAAATCAGAACACTTTTGACATGTGGGCCAGCTACTTCTGGGAATATATAAACTTCCTCCTGCTGCCTTCCGTGGACTCCAGGACGAAGCATATTCTCTTTTAAAACAGTCATTCTAACTTGTGACCCATGAACCTCCAAGGGGTGCATAGATAGAATTCAGGAAATCTGTGAGTTTGAATGGGAAAAATATACCTTTATTTTCACTAGTCTCTAACTAAAATATAACACTGAGTTCAGGAGAGATACAGTGAATAAACCACTAGTGGTGTTAGCAGTACCTGTGACAAGGGCAATAATAGAATAGAAATCACAGATATTTGCATACATTAATGGTTGATATGAAAGTCATAGGTACTTTCATACCTCATTACATAGAATAGCTATCTTTACTGTCATCACTATTTTGAAATCATGGTAGTTTTCAAAATCACCAGGATATATTTTATTTAATGAATTTTAAAATGTCATATATTAATATATCATAAATTTCTTTTAAAATATTTTGATAACTGCATTTCAAAATAATTGGTTTCCTCTGTAATACAGTATATTCCATTTCATGGGTTTAAAACATTGTTCTGAGAAAGGGTTCTTAGGGTTCACTAGATTGCCGAAGGGGTCCGTGTACCAAAAAGGTTAAGAGCCTTTGTGTGAGGAGTGCGATCCTCTGCTTTGCAGATGTGACTGAGAACCTGAAGCCTAGACCGGGTCATTGGAAGCAACCTGCCAGCAAGCATTCTTTCTCTGAGTTCTACCCACACTCTTGCACTTTCTGATGGTCTTAATTCCAAATCATTATATCATTGCCTTTCCCCTTCTCTCCCTTTCCCCCTCCCTTTCTCTCTCTCTCTCTCCCTCCCTCTTTCTGACACACACATGTGCTTGCGTGTGCGTGCACACACACACACACACACACACACACACAACTTTCTCCCAGGAGGGGGCAGCAACAGTTTCTAAGTTACCACACTCCAACCAACAATTTCATCATGAAGGTGTCTTTTATTACAGATGACCTCAGAACATAAAAATAAAGCAAACATTTATCTACCAAAATAACAGCATTTGGTAAATAACTAATCTACGATTATTTATTTTTATTTATCTAAGACTATCAAGAAGAAACTATGTTATGCAATGAATTTACACTCATTGGATAAATTTCAGCTCAGTATGGGAGAATGACATGTTAGTTAGCTAGCACAATTCTGTGTCAGTAAATGTCTGATTTTCTTTTGACATAGTATTAACTTCATAGATCCCACGGGTTAGAGTACCGGGTCCAGAAAACAATAATAGCAGACACAAATATGGTACTTATTCTGTATAAAGAACGGTTCTAAATTCCTTATTTATATAAAGTTCACAACAACTTTTGAAGGAAATACTCATTATACCCATTTTACCAATGAGAAAATAAAGTCAAAGGGAATTTAAGAGACTTGCCCATGTATATGTAGCTGCTGGATGGCAGAACCAGGACTCAAGCCCAGGCTCTAATCCACTGCCACCAGGGGAGGGTGGGCTTAGCACCCTTTGCTGTTGCCACAATCACTCGAGGAGCCCGTGCTCCATCTCTACTGTATCAATTATTATACAGAGGACAGAGAGAAATGACTCTATTTTATAACAACAAAACATTCGAACATGTTCCTGTACTTGAAACAGTGTTGGTGGGAACAGAACAGTTGATGGACAAGCAATAGACTCTAAAAATTGTAGGCAATTCTTTCCCTCGCTCTCACCACAGCAAGGGCCCAGGCACACGGTGTACTGAGTGTGACTCTGAGCAGGAAATCAGGAATCTGGTCTTCTCACCATGGGGGAACCTGTCCATTTAGAAGGGATATAAAGAGTTGTGTAGGCAGAAGAGAAGGCACAGGTGACTAGATCTCTCTGAGCCTTAGTATCCCCATCTGTAAAATGAGCTGTGACAGTCAGTCATCTTATAGCAGCGACAGCATCTAGACTGAGGCAGGGGGAGCCCTACATCCTACTCGCTTCCCTTGGCCTCCCTCAGAGTCTGTATCTAGACCTTTGCAAAAATGAATAGAAACAGATTTTTTTCTCCAGGAAGCTAACAGTCTAGTAAGAGAGTAATTAGAATAGATTAGAATAGAATAGGAGGGGTGGGGGGTGGGGTCATGATATCTGGAGGAAAAAACCCAAGATTTCAAAGACTTTGGCAATATTTTATTTCCTGAGTGGGGTTATTTGTTCAAGTGCTCATTTTATTGATGTGTTATCAAATTATTGCATATATATTTGATATCAGTGTTTTAATGTGGAGAAAACAACCTCATTGAACAATTAAATGAGGAAGGAGAAACCTACAGAAAGGTACACACTAAGCTGTTAACATGACTTCCCTGGAATAGGAGGAAGGAAGAAGAAAGTAAGCAAAAATAGATCATGAAGAAAGAAGTGTACTACTTAAAATAAAGGTTGATAGGAAAATCAGAGAAGAAAATGAGAGGTTATCTCATGATAAATGAACCAGTCAAACCATACCAGGAATACCAAGGTGATATATTCTGCAAAGCAGTGGCTACTCTCAGAGTCATAAAAACAACCATAACAAAAAGGATCTATATTATTTTAAAAGATAATTAGATAATCATCAAAAGCAATGCCCAGTCCTGAGTTAGAAACTATATTTGAATCCATGTTAAAGGATCTTTTTATTTTCTTTTTTAATTTTTTAAAAATATTTTATTTATTTATTAGAGACAGATAGTGAAAGAGAGCACAAGCAGGGGGATGGGGAGAGGCAGGCTATTAAGTATTAAGGAGAGCACATGTGGTGATGAGCACTGGGTGTTACAGGCAACTAATAAATCGTTGAACACTACTTCAAAAACTAATGATGGAGTATATGTTGGCTAACTGAACATAATAAAAAAATTAAAAAATATAAAAAAACTAGTCCACAAAATTCTATATGACCCAAATGTAAATGAAATACTATTACATATGTTTCAATGCAGAGAATAATCTCCTTTGCAATACCTATTCTATCATCAACGCTAGACATTAAACAAAAACAAAACACTAATAGAAATTATATAAAAAATATTTACTTCTCTTAAAGCCTGGTGCTTGAGGCAAAACATAGTTTGGGCTGTTTTTGTTAAACAAATGAAATATTGTAATAGCAAACTTTGGGAATGTATCTTCACGTCTGGCTTCTGTTAACTCTATTATCTATTCAATATGTTTCTTTTTAATAAAACACTCTTGATTTCAATAAAAAAAACAGGCAGCATCTTCGGCAGTCATGTGGTATTTTATTTTTTACTGTACAACTTTCTAAAAAATATATATTGTTTCTGTTGGTAAAATTAGATATAAACTGTTTTTAAAATGAATGTTTCTAAATGAATAAAATACAAACTAGCTATATTTACTGAGCTGGGATAAAAGTTTTCCTTCTGATGCCATAGGTGTTTTTGCTCAGTGACTTGAAGCAGTTGCAGGACCATTATGAGTCTGCAAAGCGATCACGTCACAGGAAGGTTGCTGATGGGACCTGGGGAAGCCTCATCGTTTTGCTACTTTGATGCCGCCATGGTGCAGGGCTTCTCTGCTGTGTAGCCCTTTGTCTCCCACGAGCCGGTGAGTCCCGAGCACAAAAGGAAAATCCTGTTCTGGGCTTGTTGACCCCCAGCCCCAAGCTCTTCCCTTGTCAGGGTCCCTCCTGGGCTTTGTCAACAGCTTCTGTGTCTTCTCCTTATAGGCTCTATTGAGGCCAAAGTCACGCAGACTCCAGGACATCTGGTCAAAGGCAAAGGACAGAAAGCAAGGACGCATTGTATCCCCGAAAAGGGACATACTTTTTGTTTACTGGTATCAACAGACCCAGAAAAAGGAGTTGAAGTTTTTCATTTACTTTCAGAACGAACAAGTTCTTGATCAAATCAACTTGCTCAAGGAGCGATTCTCAGCTAAATGCCGCCAAACTCACCCTGCAGTCTGGAAATGCAGTCCTCTGAACCGGAAGACTCAGCGCTATACTTCCGTGTCAGCAGCTAATCCACGGCCCGGAAGTGGTGGTTCCTCTTAGTGCACGAACTCATTGTGGACCCAGCTCAGGAAGTGGGTGGTGTATTCGGTTGGAAGGAAGTAACAAGTTAACTGGAGCTAGCTCAAGCCATGGTGGATTTAACATGAGTCTAAAAGGCTGTTCAGCAGCCATGATGCAGTGATGGACAAGTCTGGAAAAAACACCACTTGGACCGGGATCTGGAACGACTGTCTCTCCAGTTCTCGTTTTTCTTTTTATTTTGTCCACTTCATGTTTTTCTCTCCCTGTGTTCTTTCTTCCTCTTTTCTTCCAGTCTTCATGGTGATGATGAGACAGTAACGAAAGGTCACGGATTCAGTTGTCATCATTTCACCACAGAGATAAGGAGCATCTCAGCTCTTTGTAAACCTGGGGTTAAATCCAGAGGAAACAGTAGCCTGTTCATGATCCAGCCATGAACCTTTTCCTGGAGCATGCAACCCTTACCATGTATGTCTGCACATATGTATTTCAAATCATATAAATCTTACTTTATTATGCATGCAATTCTACCTTCTAGATTTTCCCACTTAGCTCAAGTGAGTGAAATGCTTCATTTTTCTGAATGTGCCTGTAGTCTCTCATTTCTAAGTGATGCACAGTGCTCCATGCCCACTTCTCCAGGAATACACACAATTTTCCTCCAATTCCATGCCAGTTTTGAATATGCTTGTACATATCCCTTCCTGACCTGTATAATCATTTTATAGGATTATATGCCCAGAATCATGACTGTTGAGACATGAAGTACCATTTCTATATGTTATTTTGTGTATCTAGATACCACCAGAGGGCTCCTCAGAATTGCTGTATGTGTCTCAAATCTCACTTAAAAGTGCATAAAGCTTCTCATATCCCCTTACCCTCTTATAGTGTTATCCAGTTGTCTAGATTATTGCCAATCTAGAAGTGTAAAGAGATCCGAATCTCTTTCACCCCATTTCTCCTAGATCACCATCAGTGTTTACCCTAATGCAGATGACAATTTAAGAAAAATAAATAAAACTAATAATTTAATAGGACGAGAGAGAGAGTTTACTTTATACTCCTATCCTATCAACTGGCAATGATCTAGAAAGCTGGAAAGTGGTCTCTCCCTCCCTCCCCCACTTGCATTTTTTTTTCTGATTGCTAATGAGTTTAAGTACTTCTTCATTAGATGTTGGTCCTTGATTTCTGTTCTCAAAATGGTCTATTTGTATCCTTATGCCATTTCTCTAGTGAGAGTTCTGTATTTTTCTCAAGGATTTGTAGGACTTCCTTAGATATACTGCTAGATATCCATCCCTTTTTTATTTTAGAATAAAATTGAAATACCACCTCCCTATATGGTGCATCCCCATCCCAAACTTCAAAGAACCAGTAGATGTGGAGAGAAACAGGTGGTCTTTCTTCTGGGAAGGTGCCTGTAATGTCCATTACATGAATGACATCTCTATTCTCCCAGTCTTGGGACCCTGGGTATCCAGAATGTTCCTTCCCCATTATTACTCATATCCCTGTGTAGCACAGAAGCATTTCCAACCACTGTTATCCCCTAAACTACTTACGACCCATCACAATCTCCTTGTATCCGGAAATGCTGAGAAAATTCTTAACTCCATTCAACTGTGCTTTTTGCTCCCTGGAGTAAGCCAAATTAATTTTTCTACCTTTTTTTTTTTTTTTTTTGTAACTGGATTCTGCTGGCTGCTTACAGCAAGGAGCAGTAAAAATTCACACATTTTTCTTAAAGACTTACCATTTGCCCTCATATTATCTATTTTAGGGCCAAATAGCATCCAGTGCAATCACCGATTTCATTGAGCTTGATATGACAGCTGACTCATATTAATTCCACCATTTTAATTCACTGAACATAAAAGGACTGGAAATTTTTTGTTGCATTACATGGCATTTTAGTCTCTGGGGAAAGAGAGAAGAGTAAAAAGAGAGCCATGAAAAAATATATTTCAAAGAATGTATATAGTTATGGCAAATAGATTTTTTTTTTACAAAACATATGAGAATGTTATATGTTCTGTAGAGAGAGGTTTTTCATTAGACAAATTAAAACAAATTCCTGAGGAATAATTTAGGGAAACAAATTTTAAGTGATACCCAGAAAACTATCAGCATTTACTATAAAGATGGAGATACTAACTTAAGAAAAGAATCAAACCAACAATTAACAGGAATGAGAAAATATGAGTAGAAAAAATTTCACGTAAATTTGGAAAGAAATAATACTTGCAAAAAAGTGTTGAAGAACAGTTAAAAAATGAATTATGTGGGCGCCTGAGTGGCTCAGGCATTAAGCATCTGCCTTTGGCTCAGGTCCCGATCCCAGGGTCCTGGGATCAAGTCCCACATCAGGTTCCCTGCTCGGTGGGAAGCCTGCTTCTCCCTCTCCCACTCACCCTGCTTGTGTTCCCTCTCTCGCTATGTCTCTGTCAAATAAATAAATAAAATCTTTTTTTAAAAAAATGAATTATGTTATCCAGTTTGATTAAGAGCCCTATCAGGTTACTCTTATAGACCACTTATAATAGTGTCAGCTTGACAACGAGGATCAGAACCTTTAAAGTGCAATAAACATCATCATAATTATATAATGAATAAAAGGAATTTGGGGGCGCCTGGGTGGCTCAGATGGTTAAGCATCTGCTTTTGGCTCAGGTCATGATCCTGGAGTCCTGGGATCGAGCCCTGTGTCAGGCTCCCTGCTAAGCAGAGAGTCTGCTTCTCCATCTGCCCCTCACCCCGCTTGTGCTCTCTCTCACTCTCTTTCAAATAAATAAATAAAATCTTTAAAAAAAAAAATCCAGGAATTTGGCTTCAAGTCAAATGGATAGTTGTTAGTGTACTTGCCCACATCTATCAGCCACTGTAAAGCTTGATAGAAGTTTTTAAGGCAAGGGCTCTCAGACATTAGACAGCAGACAGTAGAGGTTGTCATCACAGAAAAGAAGGAAGAAGAAAGGGGGCTTCACATTTGCTTCAGGTCTCTGCCTTGGAACTGCTTCTAAACTGTAGCACAAGAACATGGAACCCCAACAGAGCAAGTGGCCTCAATGCAGCAGGGAGGTTTGCTCCCAGTATGGAAAGGGGGTCAAACACTGAACAGCAGATACATTCAGAGCCTCCATGAAGCCTGACAGAGAGCAGGAATGGAGATTCTGGAAGCCAAACATCCTGGGGTACATAAGAATCCTGACCAGCCAGAGTGGAGAGAACTCGCTGAAGCCCCTTGGAATACACTTGGCACCCCAAGGGGGCGGGTCATACCTCAAGAGGAGGGCCACCTAAGTCCTAGAATAAGAGCCACTCTACAACTGCCCCAACAAAGTTCAACAAGCCTCCAGGGGATCTATAAGTTAACTATCACAGCACTCTAAAAATAAAGGCAGAAAGAAAGAAAAGGAAGGAAGGAAGGAAGGAAGGAAGGAAGGAAGGAAGGAAGGAAGGAAG